AATTGCTCCCTACTGCAGATAACTATCTTGTATTCATGGAGATCAGCTCTTTAGTAACATCTACAGCTAGATACTGAATAATGGGAAATGCCCATTTTCCTACTATGTTTAATTCTACCTTGGAATGTAGTCCTTCATCATGGCTAAAATAATACGTAAACCAATAAAGAAAAGGAAGGGGAACAAAGGAAAAATGAAAATTCAGTTGAAAGCATTTGATAAAAATACAAAGAAGGAGAAATAACAAACCTATGGCTATAGGGCAAAAAATCAATGCAGTCAAACTTCGAAAATTTGTTAGCAATCTGATTGTTTTATTTTTCATAGAAAACGGAACAAGAGAGATCTGGTGAACTAGATATAACTAATAGGGGACGAGTGATTAAAGAATGAAAGCAGTGCAAGCTTAAGAAGAATTGACCACATTATCTTGAGATTTGTCATATTCTCAAAAAAGAAATGACAGCATAGGCTTACAAGGGAAGCTAAAAGCAACAAATGTCCCTTTTTCAGCTATGACAATAGTAAAAGAAAGAAAAGTGAAGGAAGGAAGAGGCCCACTTCTAGGAGAAAATGGTGGGATAGTAAATAGATAAGAGAGGGAGCAGGCAGAGGTCTTCAAGACTTAATTTGCTTTAGTCCCTCTCCATCCCCCCCCCCCGCCACCCAAAATGTATTCAAATGTAACTGATCAGAACCACTGACAAACAGAGGCAGTGAAAAATGAAGGGTAAATAAAATTAGGGTTAGTAAACACTAGTTGTTATGAGTGAATTCAAATCTCCATAATAAGAGCAATTACATCCAAAAGTTGTAAAGAAATTTGCAGATGTCATTAGAGTCCCTTCCTATGAACTTTAACAAATCACTGCAGATGACTGGAGATAGGTAACTGTTGTTTTACTCTTCAGAAAAAAAGAATAAGAAGAAGACATTATAAACCAGGTCAGCTTGACAGTGACACTGGGAAAAATTCAGAGAGAAATCATTAAACAATTGGTTGACAAGCATTTAGAAAAGAATGCATTTCTTGGCAGGAGCCAGGAAAAAAAATCATGCCAAACCAACCTGATCTCTCCCCCTCCCTCCCTCCCTCCCTTGCCCCTCCTCTTGATCTTTCTTCATAAGCAGTTTAATTGCCTGGGAAATAGAGTGGATATAGTATTTAATTGTTTTCCTGAATTATATATTTTTAATTGTTAAATCTTTTATGATTTTATTGTAACACCACTCAGAGTTACTTTTTCATGAGATGGGCAGTCATATAAATTTGATGAATGAATGAATGATGAATGAATGAATGAAATACCACTTGTACTAGAGAAGAGGGCTCTGTTTTAGCTACTTTAAATTGATTCAACATTGTTTGAATAAGCATATAAAGTATAGATCAAATTATAGGTTAAGTTGGAGGGAAGTGTCAAATGGTGAGCTGCTAGGTTCTGTTCTAGGTCTTACAGTATATTGTTCAACATATTTATCAATGACCTGAATAAGGGATTGGAAACATTATTACCATATTTACAGATGATACAAAGAGAGGGGGGAATGGAAAATATCGTAGAAGGCAGTATCATCTGGCAGGAAAAACTTTGAAGGGTGGGAACAACAGGCAGTAATCAGTCACTATTAAATTTGGTGAGGACAAATGTGATGTCTAACATTTGGATATGAAAAAGAAAAACCATGAATGTAGAACAGGGACCATACATACAAAAAAAGGACCCAAGTGGCTTTTTGTCAATAAGAGACAACAGTGTAAAGTAAATGATAAAAAAAGCAACTGTAATTCTAGGTTGAATCCACAGAAATAAGATGTAAAAATCAAGATATGTCCATTGGTCAAATCCCATCTATATTACACTGAGTTCTGGGCATTTCATTTTAGAAAAAACATTGATGAGATGGAATATATTCAGAGGAACAAGAAAGTTGATAAAGGACCTCAAAGGATTATCATATGAGGAACATTTGTAAGTGTTGGGCATTTTTAGTCTGGAGAAGATGTGATATTTAAAGGGCTATAACTGAAGTATTTCAAAAGAATGTTATACTACAACGCAAGAAAAAAAGACTGATCTTAAATTACAGCACAATGTATTTCAGCTCAATACCAGGGAAAAAAAGGTACAAGTTGTTTTAGAACGGAATAGTCTGCCTTGGGAAATGGTGAACTTTTCTTTTTTGGGAAGGCTGTTGGATTAGATAATTCCAACAGCTCTTATATTCCAAATTACATAATTCAAAACAATCTATGCCTAACCTCTAAAACAAGGCCTACTCCATATATTGAATACAAATCCAATAGCCCCAGACAACATGGAAAATTGTTATAAATATTCCCACAACATCTAGAAAGTTAAACTTCCACAACATGGTTATTTCAGCTTGCAGGACTGGCCTAGGGGAAATTTTTAGCGGGGGTTTTAAAATTATTTTAAATTATAGGCCAATTGTTAATATTTGTCTTTTAATAGTGTTTTAACTGTAGTATTGGTATTTTGTATTTTGTAGTTGTTTTATCTGGCTGTTAGCCACCCTGAGTCCGTAAGGAGAAGGGCGGGATATAAATATAATAAACATTCAAACAACATCTAGAAAGTTAAATTTTTCAACATCTATCTTTGAACATAGGTTCAGCTACACATTAAAATGTATTATTTATATATTTATATAAACTGTGAATTTGAATTTGTTTTTTCAGTCTTAATCCAATATCTTAATCACTTAAAAATTAGTTCTCACTTCAACACAGACACATCACTGGCTAGTACAAAATGATCCCTTAGCTCTCTTGGGTTAGACCTCACCCTTTTTTTAATATCCTAAAAAGAGTACATAATCAGACATCAACTTTGGATAGCAGCTAGCAAGTTTTGAACATGTAAGTACTGCAAAATGTTAGCCCTCTAGATAGTCTTTAGCCTTTTAATTTTCAGTATAAATTCAAACAACTTTAATCAAAGAAGTAATTTCCAAGATTTATTATGACTATTTCAGTATTTAACTGAAAAAGGAAATTAAATATCAAGCTCTTTTGTACTTCTAGAGATCATGTTATGTCAGATATAGAAAATGAGCCCTGGTTTTCCTAACATTTAGTTGATATTTGTTTTCCTGGATTTTAAATCTATGTCCTCTATCCTGACACAATTGAAAAACAAATTTTAATTTTGTTAGACTACATACAGCTACACAAAATAATTGACTAGATTTATGGAGATTCTCAGTCATCCAGATCATAGTTGTCTCAAAGATTATTTTTTCCCCAAAGGCAACTGGACTGTTTTTTATTTGAGGAAGAGAAATACATTTCACTTCTAATCCAAGAACCATCATCTGTTGTAAACATCATCTTTTTCCTTAAATAAAAAAATAGTCCAGTTGCCTTTTGAAAAAAGCACCTTTGAGACAATTGACTACATTCAACGATTTAAATTTGCCTTTTTCCAATTCTTAACTTTTCAAACATAATTCCCCAAAGTGGTCAGTATCAACTCCCCCCAAGGATCAATGTTGTTGTTTGTAGTGGTATTTGTTAAAGTAGTATTTATCAAATTAATTTCATATAATAACTGTTTGAGGATAAATGACAATCTGAAAATTCATGAAGGGGTCAATGAGGTGAAGAGTTCGGGGACCACTACCCGAGAGGAACCCTTGGAATCAAGTCTCATAAAAATAAAATATTTGCATAAAATATGAAAATATGAAAACTTTACAATACGGTTTAGTCCCAACCTACAATGTTTACAACAGCAAAGCAATAGTCTGACAGGTAAGCAACAGCATGTTAAAATTCCCACCATCCAAGTGCTAGCAATATGAAGCATGCAAAGTTCAAAAATGATGCTTTTTTTTGCAATTGTGATAGTTTGCAGAACAATGTCTCAGGGAACCGTAGATTTCCACAGAAATTCAGTTGAGAAAGGCTGATCTAGATAATATGTTTCTCTATTTTATAAAATAGTGAAACAAAGTAACAAACTGGACTTCTGGTACTGAGACTTCATTCCTAGCTGCAATAATCTTCTAATTATTTAAATACTTTATTAACAACTAAGAGGGCACAGCCTTTGGAGGTTCAGCTATATTAGGCTTTAAGTAAGTAGAAGGGAAAAATTACCTATGTATTTTAACATAATGTAAAATTTGATTAAAACAAAATTCATCTCAATCCAGTGCAATTAATATATAACAGATTTCCAGTGTCAGATTAATTTGACTGCACAAGAAACTCTTAAAGTAAGATTTAGGGATCTTTAATTTTCATAGACAGAATCTAAGGAACTATTAAATATATTCTGCAAGTAATTTAGTTTGTTTGCTTTTTTCTCCACTCTTGGTGCAGAAAAAGTAGTTTAATAGCCTAAAAACAATTTCAAGTGTAATTTGCAATATGACACCTGTTGTTGCTCTTCCATTAAAAAACAGAATAAACAATTTCATCAAGGTAACTCACTTCCTTTACATGAGCTTCAGCAATGTTTTTGAACTTGAATCCTTGGTTTTATGGTACAAATTATGTTTCTATTACGAAAAGGAATGAGCCCACAGCAATGAAATAAATGACACTTACAATTACTGCTGTGAGGTATAAAAAAAGGCTTCTTCCAAAATTAGTAATTATAATTGTAATGAATATACACTGAGTTGCTGTATATTCTTAAGAAGAGCAATCCTCTCAATGGACTTTTAAAAAAATGCAAATCTCAAATTATGTAATAGTAGATAGGTGGAAGGATTCTACTTTTTCTTTAAGTTATGTATTAGTGATCTGTCAAAGCCAATTAAATGTTGAAGCTTTGGAAACATATACAATGACAGATGCAAATTAAAGATAAGGACAAGAAAAACACATGTGAGAAAGATGTTTCCATATGCTCATTTCCCACTATTTGTATTCCTTCAAAGGTTTGGATTTCTATATGTATCACATTTTAACAGAGCTTTATTTTATAAACTTCCTTAGAAAAACAAGTATTTATTGGAAAACTTACTCATTAAAGACCAAGTCAGGAGCAAAATAAAGAAACTGGCTGTTTGTATGTCTGTATGATCTCCAGCTCAAGGCAAATGACGATAAACACATCCAAGAATACTGTATTAAAGTAATTTGGTCCTCAAGAGGCAAGTTTCTAAATCCTAAAGACGGAAAGAAAATAAGGATTAGTAAATCTTTAGTAGCAAAACAATTTTTTATCCTTAACATCCAGATGTACAAATACTTGTACACTTAGGAACCACGAATTCTAATTTTAAAACTTTACCTTACTGATGTGAAAAACATTTCCTGCATGAAGCCTCCTATGCATGGAACAATTATTTTGCAGTGATCTGTGTCTGGACTGAAAACCTGTGTTTCAGGCCAACTAATTTGGGGAAGGATCAGAAATAAGCCAGCCAGATTGGTGATAGAGCACAACTAAGGAGAGGTTAGAAAGGGAAAGCACTGAAAAGATATGGGGAGAACAGGCTGCTCAGCTGGATATGTGGTGCTGGAACCCAGTCATAACCATTGTTGATGCCCTTGGCTTTATCTGCAACACTTAAAATCCATCCTCTTTTGATCTTCTCAGTGTCTTCCTTTCCATACCTCCCCTAAGCTATCAGCAATGTTCTTGGAATAAGAAAAAGAAAATGCGAGAAAGATAGATGGTCTGTATCTGACTGGAAATTCCGTAACTGAAGCCAAAAATATTGTGGGCAACATGTGGAGGATAAGGGGAGGGAGGGAAAGGAAGGTGCTGGGGGACATCATCTGGCAGGCTGGTGGATTGGCCATGTGGAGGGAAGAAAGTGGGAAGGTGTAGTAGCCTTGCTCTACTCTGCCGTGTAAGACCTCTCTGAATTTGTTCCAGCTAAAATCTGTAACAACCAAAATATTCTAAGTTTTAGTTCTGCTCACTTCAGCTGGCTCATAAGGATTTTGCAGAATTTAGAAAATGTAATGAATTCAATATTTTCTTTTTGAAAAAACAAAACAAAACCCTACCATATTTTTTTATTTCATACACACTGCTACTTCACATTCTAAAACTAGGTGTGGAAGGTACCTCATAGTTTCTTAGTGGCAAGGTCACTATACCAGATTAGTACACTGATTTCACAGATTTCCTGGCAAACTCTGGCCTCTAAAACAGATCCCTGGTTAGTAATATTATGAGCTATATTTCAGGAGAAGGTCTGAAAACTGGTGGTTATGCTCAAACACATATGAAAATATAAGATTTATTCTAAGAAGGGCCCAGAAAGTTATGTTCACACTGCTATATTTTCATGTGTTCTAAGCAAATATTTCTAACTTTAACAACAACAACAACAACAACAACAAATATATCTATATTATGCAGCATAAACTAATGTATCCTTTATAAATATTTTTATTTTATTTTATCCAGATATTTTTATTGCCTATTCTGAGAATTTGGAGCCCCAACCCACATGAAAGAAAACGGTACAAATGTTTTCTAATGACAAGTGATGAATTATTCTTAATACAAAAGGAGTTCTAACACATTCTTTTGAGCAAAGCATACCTTAACCTCAGAATATCTACATTGAAAATAAAAGTTTCATTACCTGGGAGGATCTTTGCCCATTTCACCACCTGAATCATCTGCTTGCCAGCGAGACGATTTAAAGTGGAGAGCAGGTGTTCAGCTGTGTCTGGTTTTGAGCTATCGTATCCTGCATATACAATTTCAGGTTCAATATTTTCTAGAACCATAGCAGGTGAGGGAGTAAGTGCTGGTGAAACTGCAGATAAGTGAGGAACAAGTGCTGTGTTCACAGAAGTTTCTTTTGCTGGAGCAATATACGTAATCCCTTCTTCTGGACTTTGTGGTGGCTGCTGCTGCTGCTGTGGTGGCTCTTCATGGATTCCTTTTAACTTGCCCAACTTTTTCGACTTCCGGGCTGTAGCAAAGATGAGTCATAAAATGGGGTAAGAATGTAGTTGTATCATACAACACCAGAAACTATCCATCTTTTGTTTTTACTATGTAAAACACACAAATGTCCCTGGGGAAAAACCAGGTCAATAATTGAAATAGCAGAAAACAGCAAGGTGAGTATTTAGAAATATATTCTGAAACAGGAAATTGCATAGAGATGAAAGCAAATTATAATGCTATTTCACAAATACATCTTATTATGTATTTCATATGGATTCAGCAAAGCATGATTATTCTATTAAATGCACGCCACATCATAAGCCATTTAAGTTTCCCTTTATTAACTGAATCACTTATTTTCTCACTCTTTTGTTTTGCAGTATTCTCAGCTATGTTTTTTCTCAACTGGTTTTGAAATTGCACTTTATGATTCCTTTAAAATAATTAACAGAAATATTGTTAAGTGCAGCAACTCAAGTAACAGCTATCAAAATTATACTTTAAATAAGTAATCTTTATTATCTTCTAATATCATTAGTAACCTGGGTCACAAACTAAGAACTTCCAATAAATTTTTTTCCTTTAAACAAAATTGCATGTATTCTGCAAATATTACTGTGGACCAAACCAACTGCATAACTTTTTTTTCCTGAATGGCAAACAAGTCTGCATTATAGATTATTTTATCTAAACTCAATTACAAAAATCTAGAAACACAGATATAAATATGCTTTTTGGTATTATATTATAAATTATTTTTTTAATAAAAAAATTGTAAGTATTTTTATAATTCCTTATCTACATTCCATTTTTATGGTATAAACTCCATAAACATGAGTTTATATTAATTTTATTTAAATACATCAGATGCCATATAAAATATTTTTTTAAAGAAACAGTGGCAACTGATGTATTTATATATTTATTATCTTCAGAGTTGTCATTTAAAATGGGTTCTGTCCAGCTGTAATATACCTTGGCCTATACATCAGGAGTCCCGAACCCCTAGGCTGCAGACCCATACCAGTCTGTGACTTGTCAAGAACCAAGCTACACAAGTGGCAGGCAAACAAGCAAACTTTCATCTTCACATGCCCAGGATCTAGCTTGTGCGTGAAACCATCCTCCTCTGCTCTGAGTCCACAAAACCGATACCTGAAAGGTTGGGGACTGGTGCTATAAGTATGTCATGTCAATATTTTTAAATCAAGCAACATCTAAGCAGAGATTGTGCACCGCATGCTAGCTGTAATCTTTAATGGTGAATTAACAAGGGAATTCGATTTAATACAGATAAATCGTGGAGCTATGTGCTTATTATTGCATTGCTTATTTTATAGATTCCAACATGAAACCTACAATAATATTCATAGAATAAATATACAATATAGAACTGTCTTCCGCTTCTTTCCAAGCTATATGGTCCTGAGCTTTCTTTTGCCAATTGGGCCTGCAATACTTGCTGATGTTATCAATCCATCTTGTTTTAGGTCTCTTCCATAGATGCTTTTTATCAAGTGGGATCCATTCTATGACTACTTTGGTCCACCTGCCATCAATTCTTCTTGCTATGTGATCAGCCCATTTCCATTCAATTCTTTATACATACATACATACATACATACATACATACATACATACATACATACATATCTGAATACTAGTACTACATACTACATATCTGAATATATATCTATATCCATATCCATTTCTATCTATATCATGTGGGTGTATGTACATGCATGATATAGATAGATATGGATATGGCTATAGATATGGATATATAAAGACATGCAACTAAATACATCATGCAAAAGACATTGCCATCAAAACCAGTTATCAGAGTTGAAGTAAATAATGAAATCACACATTATTGAAAAGGGATAAAGATTAATTAGTCCAAAGAAAACTTTCCCAATAAAAAAAATGTTAACTTGTTCTATAAGGAAGAGAAACACAAGAGTACATTTAGTGGATCAGAATAATATTTGGTAGTAATGGAACTCAGAAACAGTTTATTGACTTTTGCATAAGAAGCAGGTTCTAAGTATTTAAGGAAATAAAAATAGACTTCCAGAATAGGAACAAGACAGAAAGGATGCAATTATATCCTAATAAACAAACAAAGAGAATAGTCACGGTAACTGACGATTTACTTATATGAGGAAATGGATCAAATGTATTCAAATCATATTTATTAGTTCATGAAGTACACTGACAACTAGGAGTGAAGAATAAGGATGTGACAGGACAACTTCCAAAACTTATCAAGCCTACTGACAGTTATCTTTTCCCATTAATACATATAGGAAGAAAAAAAAACAGCTAAAAGTATATCACTCTGATCTTTGAAAAACTTAAAAAGAATTGGAACATGACATTCATCTTTTCTTCCAATATATGGAAGAATACAGGAAAGTGAAAGAAAAAAATACTGAAAATGACAAGCATTGCAAATGGTACTGAGCAGAGATTTGTTTTCTGGGATCATGGCTGAGTTATCCTGATGATGACTGGAGGATAAACTGTGTCAGTATATAAGTAATGTAGTAAATAAAAAAATAAATAAACAACATGAACTCTTTGTGCAAAATTACAAATATGATTTAATAGATATAATAGAATCTAAGAATAACTTTTGATGACTGCAGTACAGCAATAGAAAGATACTATTTGTTCGAAAAAAACCCGAAGCAATATTATAGAAAGAGAAAAGGATTTCTACTGTATGTTAAAAATATATTCAGAAAACCTGAAGAATGGATTTGACAACGTTGGATTAAAATAAGTGGAACAAAATAAAAGCCACATTGTTGTTCATGTCTATTCTCATTTTCTACCCAAGGAGATGATACCAATGCTTTCCAAAAGGAAACTACAGATCTTTAAAAAGGCATTATGTTATTAGTGATGAGAAACACTGAATAACTCAAAATTTCTTAGAGGAAAAACTTCATCAAGAATGATCCTTCCAGCAAGTTCTCCAGTCCAGTAGAGGAAGACACAAGAAGATCAGCTATCTGGACTTGATACAAACCATAAAGAAGATTTAGTAGAGGAAATGGAAGTAATAGGACTATGCAATGTTAAAGATTTCGATTCAAAGCGAAACTAAAACATAACCAAACCCTTAGAACTTAGAAAAGCAAATTTTAGTACATTTGGAGCCATGTTAAATAGGATCTCACAGCAGAAAAAATTAATGAGGAAAAGAATTCAGGATCAGTTGTATTCCTCAAGAAAGAACTAATAGTAAAACCACAATTCCATACAATATCAATGGAAAAAAACAAATGGAGGAACAAAAAAGAATTCAAAGTGGCTACACAGAAATAAGATAAAGAGAGGAAATGAAAGGAGACCAAATCAGAAAGGAAGAATACAAGTTGGTAGAACAAAAGAGGTGCCTGTTAATCAGATAAGTTTCATAATATAGTATATGATTTATTTAGACACAGTACATATAAAACATTTGACCAAGTATCCCATCACATATTGATTAACAAGCTACTTAACTGTGAACCATATAATGTGACAATTAAGTGGATACATATTTTGCTCAAAAGCCCTTCTCCATGGATTCTCATCAAATTAAAAAAAAAAGTATCAAATGGAGTGGCCTAAAGGTCAATACTGGATAATTTCATTAATGGCTTGGATGAAAAAGTGAAAAGAATGCTTTTCAAAATTTCAAATACTGAATGAAACAAAGAAGTAAGAAATAAAATTGATAGGTTCAATAAATGGACTAAATGTAAGAATGACAAGTTCAACATTCCTCACTGAGGAAATAAACATCAAATACAGAGTTACAGGATAGGAAATATCATATGGTAATGATACTTTAAAAAAGATTTTTAAACAAAATTGCTACACAATAGTTTGTTACGATAACAGTTTGGCACAAATTGAGCCACTGATGTAACGTGGCCACAATTGTATAATACCAAAATCTCGAGAAATAATTTATTTTCCCCTTATCAAAGTTTATTGGCACAATAAGTGGTAACAAGCAACATGTTCTATGAAAGATTCAGAGAAATTGGACAGAGCAATCAGATGATAAGGGAAAAGCAACTTGATCTAGGAAGAGGAACCGAAGAGACTGAGTATTTTCCCTCAGGAAAAGATAAGTGAGAGTAGATATAATAGCACTGTTCAAATACATGAAAGGGAGTCACATAAAAGAAGATCAAGGCCTGTTTTATCTTGTTCCAGAATAGAGAGCACTGAAAAATGGATTTAAGTTCTTGGAAAATAACTTCTTGTTGAATGTTAGAAGAAAGTTCCTAATGGTAAGAACTATTCAACAGTGTAAGCAATTACCCAGGGAGGTGATGAACTCTCCTTCAGTGGATGTGTTCAAGTAGAAGCTTTAATTTGGATGTCTGCATTTAGCAGTGAAGTACACTGTGCGCACAATTATTAGGCAAGTGAGTAATTGCTAAGATATTGGGGAGTGATCACAGAACCATCAAAGGTTTGTTGCAAATAGTCAACAGGGTTGCAAGAAATGTGTTGAGAAAAAAAGATGTACATTAACTGTCAAAGATCTGAGAACAATCAAATGTGAAGCTACCAGGAATCCATTATCCTCCAGTTCTGTCATATTCCAGAACTGCAACCTACATGGAGTGTCCAGAAGTACAAGGTGTTTAGTGCTCAGAAACATGGCCAAGGTAAGGAAGGCTGAAACCCGACATAACTGAACAAGACACATAAGTTGAAATGGCAAGACTGGGCCAAGAAATATCTAAAGATAGATTTTTCAAAGGTTTTATGGATGTGATTAAAGTGACTCTTGACAGACCAGATGGATGGACCCGTGGCTGGATCAGTAACAGGCACAGAGCTCCACTTTGACACCATCAAGGAGGTGGGATACTGGTATGGGCTGTTATTATTAAAGTTGAGCTAGTTGGACTCAACTCCCAAACCTACTGCCAGCCTTTCTTACCTTGGCCATGTCTCTGAGCACTGAACACCTTGTACTTCAAGAGTGTTGCATCCTTCTGAAAGATTTTTTTTTACAATTTTTGACTTTTCAGAGTCAGTTAAATCTCTTTTTTGGCCCATTTTGCCTGAGGAAAAGAAGCTGCCTAATAATTATGCACACCTATTGCATATTGATATTGATCTCCTTAGGCCATACCCTCCCTTATTACACAAATACTGTACATATCACCTGATATGCTTATATCCACTAAACATTCAAGTTTATACAGCTTGGAGGTGGACAATATGCATGAAAATGTTGATATGGTCAAAATACTCACTTGCCTAAGAATTGTGCACACAGTGTAGACTCAGTGGCCTAAATGGCCCCTTCTAACTTTATGATTCCAAGATATATTCTTTTCATTATTATGATTCAGGGCACAATCAGCCAGATGTTTAAATTGGATCTGGCATTTTTATTCACCTATAGATTCCTTTCCAAGGACTGGGATAGGAAGATGCTGCTGTTAAAGATATCTTTTATAATTATTAGTTATTTACTAACATAACTTAAGTTTATCTGAAAAATTAACATGCACATTTACTATACAGTATGCGAGCCACTTTTCACATTGTATAAGCTCTTTTTATTTAATGAAAAATATAAATGTAGATCTTTGTATGCATCATTATCCATTCACTCTGGAATAATATAATTATAATATAATTCAATTAATCTATATGATGAAATCAGCTGATTAATCAGACTCATATTCATATGAAATGTATAAATAATTGCTAAATGTAAACTATATTTATGTATTAGCATACTGTGTCAATATATCCAGAAATACACTTTTAAATTATTTAAGCAAGCTTTCTGAATTTTAAAATCATACCCCAAGTTCAGCAAAACAAGCAGATCTTTTATTACATTCATCTTCACCCCATTTTCATTTTCCAGCACTGTTCTCTAGCTAGCTTATGCATTGTCAGCCAACTCTCCTGCTAACTTTGTTCAAACAATTTTGTCTCAACCAGAGCCAAGAATGGTCCATTCTCTTTTCAACTTGCTCTCTTGTTGCTTCCACACCCAACTGTTCCCTTTGGCTGAACTTTACAAGTCCTAGAAACCAATCCCTATTTTTCATTCTAGCCTCAAGATTCTCTTGCTCCACTCCTTGATTCCACCTCTGTTACTGGAGAGTAACTTTTATTTTTTCTTTTTCTATTCTACAATAACAATGATTCTTCGACCCATTTAAGCCAGCTATAGTTTAAGTCTATTACAGCTTCTCATGTCTGAGTGATATATAATAAAGTACACTTTGTAGGAACTGCACACAAAATATTTTTTTGACTTTAAAGAAACTTTTACAATAAGTAACTACTTACACTATAATTATCATTTCTGTGCTGCAAAAATATAGATTACAATTATTTGGCACAAGGAGATATAAAAATGGTAATTATTGTCAACTGTAGCCTTATGATCATCTGGAATTCTGCAGCATAGATATGGTAGCACAATTCATCATAGTTTTTGTGCCAGACTCAAAAAGCACTCTAGAAAATTCATTAGTAGAATTACAAGCCGAGGAGAAAGTAGTATAAATTTGGGGGGGAAATCAGCAAAATGAAAAGAAAAAAAAGATATCTAAATTGCCAAAGAAATGAAGAGATGCCTGTCTGTTTCTGTGATGTGCTATACTGAAATATCAGAGCACAAGAATAGAAAAATACAACTTTTTGAAGAGACGCATGAAATCAGTATGTGTTATTCGGTTATAGTTTGTATTTACATAAATTTGGGTAGCTGCTTTTCGTGGCAATGTAGGAGGAGAACCATGTCAAACTACAGTGCCAAAAGTCAGAAGTCAAATAGGATCTTTTCTGGCTAGCAAATTTTATTAAAAGATATAAGCTTTCATGAGCTGTTAGTAAACTCAGCCACAGTTTATCAAATGTTAGGCCTTTTAATAAAATGTGTTAGAAAGGTGCTGCAAGAATCCTCTTTAATCTTCATGGATATTTGTCTGAAGCAGCTAAGGAAAGATGTATCACGACATCATCCATCTGTCAAAGTTGAATTGCTAAGATGCCTGCTAAGGTGCCTTTTGTATACAACACACTCACGGACACATGGTAGGGACAAATCTTTCATTGCAATGCTACAGTGTAACTTTCATCAATCTGATGAAGCTTCCAGATTCAATTGCTGCTTTCATTTTAATCAACAGCATACATTTTTTCCCTTCTTCCCTCTTCTGAAGGATGCCTCATACCTGTGGTGGCGAACCTGTGGCACGCAGAGCCCTCTCTGTGGGCACGCGCACAGTCCTAGGCCTTCAGCTGGGTTTTTAAAAATCTTTTCGCTTTAGGCCTCCCCCGCCGTGTGCAAAAAAAAAAAAAGGTTCAATCAATCAATCAATTTCAACTCGCGGGGGAAAAAAAGATCTCTCAAAGTTGGAATTGATTGAATTTTTTAGTCCCACCCAGTCTGCCGTTACCACTGCCACTATGCCCACCCAATTGGCCACACCCACCCAATGGGCCATGCCCACCCGGCACCTAATGATACATAAGTGGGTTTTGGGCTGCAGTTTGGGCACTCGGTGTCTAAAAGGTTCGCCATCACTGTCTTATACAAATGGCCCAAACAGAAAAGATGCAAAAAGGAGGACACTCTCCACTTGAAAATCTCTAATTTCATACCTTTTTTAATGGGCAAAACCTTAATTATCCAGTTCACTTTTTAAAAGATATGTGACCAAAAATTATGCTACTTATTTCACATGATAAATATGAAATAATATAATGAAAATGCTATCAATATAGTTAGGCAATTAAATTATACTTTTTCCATATTTTTATTATAATTATTTTTTTCTAGGCTGGAACGTACCAGGATACCTGGCAGATAACACACAGTTTTTCTCTGGTTAAATCTGATAATTTTATTGGACTGTTTTAACACCATTACCACAAGAAAACAAGAAAAAAATCCTTCAAACATGACCGATCCCAATACTTCAGTCCAATTAGCTGCCTGATATTCCACTAAAATTTTAGTCATCATCTAACTCCCATCGTTCTTATTCTGAACTATTATTTATTTTTTAAAAATGAGAATGACAATAAGATTTTATGAGGTTTTATAGAATGTCTCTTTCTTGCTAGAGGAATTCAGGACAGAGCTTCCAAGTTCATCCATCTGATACTAATTTAAAAAGAATCAGGTGTAACATACGTTTGCCAAATAAAAAGAAAACTACTAGAAAGTACTAGTACTCATAGTTTACTTACCTCCCAAATTCATTCCAGCTTGAAGACACTTCTGTAATCTGCAAGCTGGACAGTTTTTTCTTCGAATTTTATCAATTATACAGTCATTCCGTCCCGCACATAAATAATTGTGCTGCCCTGCAATAAACAAAAGACAGAACATAATAAATTCTATTTTAACCATATACAGGTAAATAAACTGTCCACAACACAGACTCACAGCTCTAAACCTGAAAGAACTCCTCTTCCAACTTTTATAATTTTTATTATTTTTAAATCTGCCAGAACATTTTAAAATAACTGCTCATAACAATTTTGAAAACACATACTCAATAAATAACTAAATAAATTAATCACACCCACATCCACATATTTAAAATCAGAGAATGAAAGGGTGAAACCTTATTTACTTCTTGCGTAATATATTCCAGATGGAATTTTATAAAATTCAAGAATTTATTATAATAGAAACTTTGATGAGCTCAAGGTCATTCAGATCACCACACGTCAATATCACAAATAAAGATGGCTGAAAAGGTGTAAAAGATTTTGTATGACAAAGCCAATTATACATTAAATCCTGTCAAGACCAAGTAAAGCTTAAGCATGCATGAAATAAGTATATCCATGACTGTATAGCAAGGCCTTCAACTGTATCCACCATGTCAAGCTGTAGAATGTGATTGTTAAAATGGAAATCCAAGAGCATCTCATTGTCCCTATGCAAACATATATACAGGTCATGAAGCCACAGTATGGAAAGAACATGGTGAACCAGATTGGCTCCAAGTTAGCAAAGAACTGAGCCAGGTCTGTATGCTCTCTCATTATTTATGCAACTTACAGGCTGAATAGGATTAAGCCACTGAAAGAAAATTACTTGCAAAACAACGGAAACAACAACCAGCCTTAGAATTAATAATGAAACTGTAGGTAGCTTTTGCCTTTTAGGCTCAACTATCATCAGTAAATAAACAAGCAATCAAGAAATACGTTACAAACTAGATCATGGTCGAGCATCCATAAAGGCTTATGAAAAGATACAATGGAATTCCCTGTGATGCTCTGTGGAAGTGAAAATAGACTTGAAGGAGGATAGAAAATGTATGATACTTTGGGACACTGGCGTTGGAGAAGAATCTTAAGAATACCACGTATAACCATGCAAATAAATTAGTGAATAATTGAACAAATCAACACAGAGTTTCAAGAGGACTTTATTCTCAGAGGAACAAATGCTCTGACTCAAATTATCCTATAGGTTTCCGATGTTCAGTGACTGCTTTGAACAGAGACTGATGGAGACGAAAAAGTAACTTTGTGCCTGCGTTTACAACTTTTCCAGCATCTCTCACTCTCTCTCAAGTCACCTGCGTGCCATTACAGTCACTGTACGCAAAATTGGTTTCTGCGATTTAGTCATTGGGCAAAGTGGTCACTAAGTGAAAATCTTGTGTCTGTGTCTATGCTTATGATTTTGCTTCTGCTTTTCTGTGCTTTAAAGCATCAGAAAGATATGATCCCAAACAGCTGTGTGAGCCCAAACACCGGGGAAGATTTCTGGAATTTGAGTCATGAAGAAACTGGATAAAAGGGCATATCCTTTTCCCTACTTCCCTTAAGAATGCAACCCCAGCTCTGGAATGATTAGCAAGAAGGAAATGGATGTTTGTATTTATATGAACTGAAGAAGAAGATAAAAGTTGAAGAGGAAAGTAAGCTTACACTGGGGAATATGCATTGAAAGGAATGCTCCAGTACCTGCTGTTTGCTAGTGTACTTGCAAGCTTCAAGCATTTTATATTTGTTTCGCTATTTTCCCTTTTAGGGAAAATAGCATATGCAGTGGGGAATAAAAAAGGTTAAGATGACAATCACAAATGAGCATCCAAAGCCATACTCTTTTGTATGTACATGTACTGTCCAAATTATGGGTATAATAAGAAAGTACAGAAATTTACTTCTTCCATAATACCAGAACTTAAAAGTTATACAGACTAAATAATTAATAAGGAAGTAAACTACAGCACTCCTCACAATACATAGAACTATTTTACATACAAAGATGAAAGGCTCTAATAAGATTTTAAAACATAAAATAACATTTTGAAATAGTTTTTATAATATTATATCTGGGCATAAGCATAATAACCCTTTCTTTAAAAAATCTGATACACAGTGAGAAATTGCAAATTACATAATGATCATATGTATGTTTTCATAACAATTGTTTTTCAAACAGAAAACTTTAGTAGTCATAAATCTGATTTAGTCAATCTCATTTTAATCAACAACCAGGAAATTACATAAAAACATAAATAATAGGGTTAGTTGTCTGAACAACCTTAGTTATTAGCTGTTGCCTCTTCACCGCTGGAACTCACAAGTGATAAATAAATTTGCATTTTAGAGAACAAGGTTCACATATAATTATATATTTTTCCTGTGTATTGACACTGAAGGATTAAGATAGATATTCTGAACATACCTACAAAGTTACAATATGTAAGCAATGAACTATTTCTATCTCTTCACAAATAGATTTCTATCTCACAGACTTCACAGATATGCTCTGCTACTGGGACATTAGGATACTACCTACAAAAGAGGAAATTGAAGGATGTTGTGTTTAATCCTTGAAATGTTCTCCTCAATCCGGAAAAGTAGGAATGTTGAAATATTTTGCAGGTTCCCAGGAATGTTCTATAGCCCGACCACAGACTGTTATAGGACTGTTATATTACCCTGAACACTTCTAACTTGCATAAATTTGGTCTTCTCAAAATTTATGTATAAGCCAATCTTGCTGACCTCATTATCTAAACTGGAGGTCATTTCTTGCCAGCACTTTTTTGTTTCACCAAGCAATGCAATGTTATCCACAAAATCCATGGGATGCCAAAGCTTTGCTATTGCTCTATGCATAACAAAGTCCATGGAGAGGAGAAACAAGAATGGCGATAGTATACATCTCTGTCTTACTCCTGTATTGACATTAAAGAAGGTTGTGTTTCCAGATTCTGTTCATATGTAACACAGACTCTTAAAGATGTTGATAAAACATTGAGGAATACCATATGACTTTACAACATTCCATAGTGATTCTCAATAAATCGAGTCAAATGCCTTTTTGAAATCAATAAAATTGATTACCACTGGCTTCTGGAATTCAATACTCTGTTCAATGATATTTCTTAAGGTTAGGATCTGGTTGTTACAAGAGCATTCTTTCCTGAATCCTGCCTGTTCTTCACGCAGGTGTGTATCTACTTGACACTGCAATCTACTGAGCAACACAAGGCATAGAACATCTCCAGGGATGATAGCAACATTATGCCTCTCCAGTTATTACAATCACTGAGGTTCCGTTTCTTTGGTACTTTAATGATTATTTCCTGACTTTGTTTATAAAATAGTGAGATCTTCCACCAAACTATCTCTACCATGTTTTAAGAGTTCTGCAGATATCTGGTCTAAGTGAGATGGTTTATCATTTTTTAACAACTGTATTGTGTCCTGAACCTCAGTAATTGTAATCAGTTCCATATTGACATCAAGTTCCTCTGACTGTGCAATGTTGCAAAATCATATGCTGTTGATGGGCTAGGTTGATTCAATATGATGCTAAAACGTTCAACCTAATGTTTATCTTGTTCTTCTTTACTAAGTAGCATGTTCTATATTTAACTTTAATTGGGATGTTGGTGTTGGTTCTAATTCTTGTTAGTTCATGGTCATGGCAAAAAAGCGATATGGAATGCATATACAATGAATATTCACATTGTATTTATAGCATAAANATAAAAATATAATGAGCCTTAAACTGAACAAGGCATCTGTTGGCTAAATACATCCAGATGAAGCCTTTGTCAAATGTTTATTGAAAGGACATTTTATTGTAAGTTTTACAAAGTTTCCATCTTTTAAAACTGTATAAATCACTATGTGCCAAATGAAGTCTTCCTTTAAAATGTCACATGGATATATCTGCTGACAAGATCTTTAAGAAGCTTCAATTCTATAGGGCAAATTTACATTTTGTTGATTGGAGAATATTCTAAGAATATTTTAACACATATTTTTAATTTGTATCAAGTTATGATTTTTGACAGCAATATAGGATTAATTGACATATACCCCACTGCCAATACTGAAAAATTATTAGGAGTAAATTAACTTATAAGGAACTTAGGTTTGAAATAATGAATATTTAACTACAGAATAATTAGAAGAAAAAATAAAAAAATTGCAGTCATTAAATCCAGCATAGTTGCCAGCTCCTTCTTTTTCAATTGAAAAATGGAGATAATATGAAAAATTCAAAAGCAGGCGATGCTTTATTACAGGATCACATATTGATCAAAGATAAATAAAAGACATTGTGTTTGTAAATTCCACATTTGGGGAGGGAGGGGATGTTGAAGAATCCAAAACAGTATAAACAACACAAATAAGTCTTGGTATACAATTCACCAAATTTGTGATAAACTTTAAAGACACAGACCAGAATATTGAAAGATACAGCCTCAAATATAAGCATTTCCAGCACTTTTCATCATTCCAAATTATGTAAACACCACATTCACGCAACGTGCATTATTTGGGAATAATATCTTTATTCCAGTAATGTAAATCTCCACAAATAACATGAAATTAACATAAAATTAATATAAGCTTAACTATATTTAGACACAATTTAGACACAATCACATCAAATAATCAGAGGATGCCTAATTTTCCAGTCCTAATGTTTTTGCCAATTATATGGGATAAGTTTCCAGTGGGTTCCCAGGTTTTTTTTCTTTTCTTTTTCTGATGCTATTTGGCTGAGGCATGCACATGTACAGATGTGATTTTTTTTTTCTCGGCAGGAAAATTACCTCCCAGATTTTTTGTTTGTTTATTTTTGCTAAGCGATAGAAGGATTCTGTAGAACCAAGGCCAGGCTCTGTCTTCGCATCCATAAGCTTGTTTCTTGCTTATAAATAAACATTAGTAAGCTTCTTGGCTATATTAACTTCACATAACTTACAGTGGGTCTCATTTCACATTTGAAGTGGCTGTTTGAATTATTTGCCCAGCAGAATGAAATAAAAATATGCTGTGGAAAATCAATGATAAGAAGCCAGCTGGGGAGG